TTGACAGGGCTACTTGTTTGGTTGCAGGCTGGCTGGCAGGTTGAGGCTGGGGAATTTTTGTGTTTTGTAACCTTGTAGGGTATAGTTTGTTTTTTCCACGAGTGAGCAATGGTTAGTTTAGCCGCTAGGAAGATAAAACCAACCAGTTTTCTGTTGCGAACCGTTGAGTTGCTTGAAATTTTGAACGACATTCATCAAGTCTCTGATGGCATTATGAATGCCCTGACAAGATTTTTTGTATGAACGCTTGTATGGAAATCTACCAGTGTATGGCCAACTTTATGCTCAGCAGGTTGAACTTTTACAAATACTAGAGCTAAATCAAAGCATGCCAAGGCAGCTCTTTGACATTTTCTCTGGAAAGTGTGTGGTAGTTCTATAACCTGGTCTCTGTTCTGTGTCTATTCCTAATTCTTGCTGTAGGGGACAATGGAGGGAGCCAGAAATCCATAATCTATATAGGAGGCCAGAGAGCAAATATTTGGGCATAACGGGTGATGAATTAAATAACACAACAGTCACAATGTTCACAGTTTGTTATTTAAAGTCACAATATTAGACATATAGAACATAATACAAATATAACCATGAATTCAACCATTCATCAGTTAAACATATGGATCAATTTCTATGAAATTAGAACGGTCACAGATTTCTTTGAAATTTACATCTACACAGACATAACATTGATCAACGTACGTTGTACATATTTCTCAGGCTGTAAGGAAAAATATCTATTAATAGATCTCATTATGAAGACTGTTCTCTTCTATGGAACCAGTGCACTGATCTGAAGAGTCTACAGCATCTAAATGTCTCTAGTGCTTGTAGGGCAGCTGGTGGATTATGGCACAAAGAGATATTTTGGCAAGACATTAAGGAGCCGTGTGAAAGTGCATTTAAATGTTTTATAACATTGGCCACAACTACTGATCTATTCTTCTGCATATATTCAATAGCCGTCATCCTAAACCACTGACTTAAGTACTTTATAAGTCACTAACTTTAAACAATTATACATATCAGGAGTTCTTACTTACGTAGATCAAGGCAAAATTAAGCAAAAAAAACCCAACATATTTTGTACAGCCCAGAAACACATGCACATCTACATATGTTTTATCCTTTTAAACATGCTGTGAGCACAGAAGAATAACGGTGGATGTGCCAGACATAAAGTGTCCTCCCAAATTCCTCTTTGACATGACAACACAGCTCTGAATTCCTGTGGTGTCAGCCCTGCCTACTTCATTTGTGATACATTACAAAGAACATTGACCTCACCTCATCTCCTCACTACCTTCTCCTAATCCCGATAACCCCACCTTGTGCACAGGCAGAGAGCACTGGAAGTTGTTAGCTCGCAAGATTTCTTGCAACAGCAACAGGTATTTTCTGAACTCATGCAACAGATGTGACAAAACACTTTCAACGGTACATCAATCAGACCAAAAAGGAGCAAATAAGAGAAATTTAACTCTGACTTCCCTGACCTAAATGCTGGTTCCAGGTCAACATTATAGAAGGAGACAGTTATCAACTAACATATTCATGAGTTCAGCAATGGCAGTTTCTAAATTTTTTTTTTTAACTACAGGTTTCCATTTAAGATGCAGTGAAATTGCTGGTATGGGTTATTTTTTTTGTGTAGTGGAAAACTGAACCTAAATGAGAAACAGATCAAAGAAAAGAAGTGATAGAGCCCATCGCAACTGTTTATTTCTGCCAGGTTTGACCAAACATGTGATCTGCTAGCAGTAACGCTGCTTCTTACCATCTACTTTCCTTCAGAAATTAGCTCTTGTATCTCACAGGACTTTAAAACAAAGAATTTCCCTAAAAAAAGTCAAGCTTGGCCCCACCCCCTACAGCCCCCTTATTGGTCCTTCATTGTGATGGATGGCCTCAATGACCAGTAGACAGACCTGTTAGGGTTAAAGCCCATCTTGACTTCAAGCTACTACAACCTTGCCTAAAGTGCATCTAAATCCAAAAGCAAATATGTAATACATTGCAGCTTACCAATTCTTAAATGTGGTGGCTGCATTAGTTTTCTTTCCCCCCCGTTATTTTCCACTAGAGATCCAACCAGTAAGTCTGTTATTTCTCAACTTCCTTTAACAGGTCAAGTTGATCAGCCAAAGTGGAAGATAGGGGATTGAAACAAATCATAAAACACTGGCAGGCTGCTTACAACAGTCAGCTTTTATTCACTTATGTAAAACGTTTATCCCAAAAAGAAAAAAAAAACTTCAAAGTTCAGATTTAATTTGTTGGTCAAGTCCATCGAAATCTGCTAGTACATCTAACACTACCCTACCCACAGGGTGACAATGCTGCTGTCCAAAGGTGGCTCCATTGCTCCTCCACAGAGTGGAGCCGTAAGACAGGAAGTGTGTTACTGGCTGGATCACCAGGTGAAAATTAAGGAAAAGAAGAAAATGAATGCAGTCACCACATTTAAGGATCGGTAAGCTGCATTATATTGTCTTTTTGTTATTAGGTTTAGATGTGCTTTAACTGTCCTGGAGCATGAGAGGAAGGCTGTGCTACACAAAACTTGTTATATGAGACTGCTGTTCTCCCAGAGGTACCTTACAATGTCAGGTGAATCTAAGGGCGGCTGCAGTTTGACTTATTTTGTTTGCTGATGGTGTTACATTTGCCAAGTGAACACCTTTACTTGTATCCATTATTACACTGCCTTCACTGTAGTGGTGTGTTCTGCATCTTCATTTCCCTAAACAAATAACTAGAACATTCCTGTGCTTAGAGCTTTAGTATATCAGTATGTATACATCACTTGTAGTACACAGCTGTTGAAATTGTTTTACATTAGCAATCGATAGCACAATACATTTAAAGCGGACCTTTACCCATATCTTAAAAAAAAACAAAAAACACACCTTTGGGAACATTTAGTAATGACAATCTCCAAACACATACATCTAGATAATTGCCGGCTTTGTATTCCTGGCATGCTTTCTTTTTTCTTCCTCAGTCTTCTGGCAGTGGCCATGTTTACTAAGGGCAGATTACTAGCTCTCCTTTTACTGCCTGTATTTCTGTGTGTGTTACTAGGACATGTGACCATGCACATAATCTCGGGGGGATGCCTTTCCCTGAGATCTCTTGAGATGACAGATGAGATTTCCCAGCAATGCTCTGCTGATAACAAGGCAATCCCAGTGTGCATTGCTTTGCCAAACTGAAGTCAACTGCCCTTTCAAACCAGGAAGTGAATGCTCTGCAAGTGTAAGTATTTCAAAATCCCAGCATTTTACACCTGACATGTCTATGCTATTATTAATCATCATACATAAAAGGGATGCATTGGTAGAATTAGATATTTGAGTGTAAAGGTCCGCTTTACGGGTAATGAAATAAATCCTTCTGTGCGGTTTGCCATCATTATTTTATAATGTTCACAGTTTATCAACCTAAATATTCTATATAAAGCAATGATGCACATAAAATATAGAATGCTTTCAACAATTAATATTTTGTACAGATCAAGCGCTATTTCCTAGGGAGCGAGTATGGGTTACCACACCCACATTGAATACAGCAACACAATATATTGATAGTGGACTCACATGAGCGCAACAATAAGCAGTATATAAAATATATATCTTCTATATATTTTTTACACTACTTATTGTTGTGCGCTCATGTTTTTCCTGTTAACATTATCTGTGCTGTCAACATGAGGGAATGTAGGCTATGCATGCACAGGAGCGAGATGCCCAATTGTAATATCGACAAACTGGCTTTCAAACACTCTCCTAGCAGATTTTTCCTGTAAGGTGGATAATGAAACTTAAATGGGCCAGCACTGCCCATTAAAGCCTGAGCACTGCGTGCAATGGCTGGGTCACTGTAGTGCAAAGCTTAGTAAATCCTTACTACCTGTTGGCTACAATGATGAAAGAATCACCAAGCAAGAACAAGTATGCAGTGAAATCAAAACTTTAGTCCTGCATGTTCTGGGTCACTAACTCAAAGTATCAAAGCCACACAAAATGAATGACAGCCAGACAACTAACATTTCCAGAATGAAAAAAGTCAGCAATGGCAGCTTACATCATTCTCTCTTTACAAGTTTCCTTTAATCTCTGTACTGACATTATAATAAACTCTGTGTGGAATGGAATTTATGGACAAAAAAGAGGCCGTGTTGACCAATCACTAAGACTAATATGTTTCCAGCACGAGTGATCAACTTTTTATGTTTTACAAATGAGAGCCAGAGAGTATAGTATTATATCTAGTGAATCTGGTGATAGGGAAAAGCCTAATCACTAGTCCCCAGTTATGCTATATGAAAGGCTTCCTGTTCATTCTTTGTGGCAGTACTGAAAAAGGCTGACAGATGTAGAAAAGCATTACAGAAAAGGATATTTAAGGCTATTTCCTAATATATATATATTATTTTTAATTATCTAACTTAAAACATTGCCATTAATTATAGGATTATGAAATGTTGAATGAGTAATTACCGTGACCCACGTCTAACACATTTCTAAGGTAACAAGACTGCACTATGTTAGTGTTTACAATGATCCCCCTGGAGCCCCCCTGGATCTACAACTGGCAAGCAGCTGTTAACTTCTGCCCTCCTGGTTCTAAGACCATCTACCTGTATACAACTGTAAAATGCCAGAGCCTCCATTGTCTATAGAGGTTCTGGCATTTGGTAGCTGAATGTAAGAGGGTCTTAGTGCTGAGCGAGGGCTGCGTTTTATTTCAGCTTAGAAAGAAGTTGAGGGACTGCGCATAGGGTGGTCGCAGAATCCAAAGTGCTTCACAGACATAAATGTAAAAAATAAACACAGGTACTTGTGGGAACTACAAGGTGTCTGCACTTCAGCGGTCTGTTGCCTTTAAAATGGTTTGGGCCACATAAGCTTAATTTTAGGGTTGGATGATCAGTAGGCAATCCTCACTGTGAACAAAAATGACAGACAGCTGGTTGCTAAGTAAATGTCAACAAATACATCCACCTTAACTCTGGAGAGAGCACATTGTAAAAGCTTTGTTCAGATGGCATACTGACTCATTGTGCTTAGCAAATTAAAGGCATGCTCATAACATACATCATAGTCCTCCATAACAGACATATTTAACGTCTAAATACTCATCAATGCCATATTTAGATCCTTCTCTGCCAAGGCCAGACTGCTTGACTCCACCAAACGGACACTCAACCGCGGAAAATATGCCTTCATTAACACCAACCATTCCCACTTCCAAGCGTTCAGCTACTCTCCAGATCTGTGCTGGGTCCTGGGAATAAAAGTAACCTGCAACGACATACCACATATGTTTATTACTGTGCCTATAGCAGCTACTAAACACACTGAAATAGACAAGCTTTCACTTTCATTATGCGTTTACAGTAAAGAAACAAGTAGGGAAATCCTATCCAATTTGTTTACTAAGCAGAAACTATATTAGTTTCCTTCTCATGTAAAGTAGACTAGGACTGAGTACTCCAATGGCCCCATCAAATGGCTGTTTAGAGGCGTGAACTGGCAATAAATTCACATTTGCTACATAATGTGTGCAAAAGTACACACGAAAGATGGAAAAAACAAAAAGAAAATCTATTGAGACTAATGCCTGCACATGGGTAGTACGACCATAGCATATAATAGTCCAGGGCTCAAAATTTCCACTCGCCCCCTTGCAATTTGCGAGTGCT